CCTTGACGAAGGAGGGAACCCAGTGGGAGCCCTCAATGTTCTTCAACATCTGGGGGATGATCTCGGGAATGCGGATGAACCACGAGGGAACAGCCTTGTAGATGAGGGGCTTGTCGGAACGGTAGCACATGGGGTAAGAATGCTTGAGTTGGGACTCAACAACGAGCTTTCCGGAGTTCTTGAGGTGCTTGATGATGTGCTTGTCGGCCTCCTTTACGTGCATGCCGGCGAAGTCGGTGATGCGGTCGCTGTAGTGGCCAGTCTCGTTGACAGGGTCGGGAGGAGGGCGCTTCTCGGTGACGATACCGGCTTCGACGGCCACGTTGTAATCGTCCTCACCGAAGGCGGGGGGCCTGGTGGACGATACCGGTACCGCTGTCGTCGGTGACGTAGGTAGCGTTGAGGACCTTGAAGGCGACGTCCTTGTACTCGTCGTAGAAGTAGTTGAAGGGGGGCTCGTACTTCCAGCCGAGCATGTCCTTGCCCTTGATCTTCTCAAGCACCTTGAACTTGGCCTTCTTGGGGTCCTTGTAGAGGGTCGTCAGGAGCTTCTCGAGGAGGATGTAGTTCCTTCCGCTCTTCTCGTCGGCGATCTTGACGTATTCGAAGTCGGGGTGGGCGGCCAGGCCGGTGTGAGAGGGGAGGGTCCATGGCGTAGTGGTCCAGGCAAGGAGGCAGGTGTTGGGGTCCTCAATAAGGGGGAAGGCGACAACGACGGCGGGATCGGTGACGTCCTGGTAGTTCTGGTTGGCCTCAAAGTTGGAGAGGGCGGTGGTGAGGGCGGTCGAGTAGGGCATGACGCGGTAGCCACGGTAGACCTGGCCCTTGTCGAACAGCTGCTTGAAGACCCACCACTCGGACTCCATGAAGGTTGGGTCCATGGTCTTGTAGTCGTTGTCAAAGTCGATCCAGCGGCCGAGACGCTCGATGGTGTGGCGCCACTCCTCGCGGTACCTCATGACGATGGAGCGGCACTCGGCGTTGTACTTTTCGAGGCCCATCTCCATGACGGCGGCCTTGCCCGAGATGCCCAGCTTCTTGTCGATCTCGTGCTCGATGGGCAGGCCGTGGGTGTCCCAGCCGAAGCGGCGCTCGACGTGGAAGCCCTTCATGGACCAGTATCGGGGGATGATGTCCTTAATGGTGGAGGCCAGCAAGTGGCCGTAGTGGGGGAGGCCGGTCGCGAAGGGAGGGCCATCGTAGAAGGTGTAGAGGGGGTTGCCCTTGGACAGCTCGACCTGGGTCTCAAAGGCCTTGATCTCGCGCCATCTTTCGATGGTGTTTTCCTCTTCCTTGGGGAAATCGATCGACATGGTGGGCGGACGTTGAGAGTTGGCCTGAGGGAGATATGTCAGTTGGTGATGATTTCTTTGGTGTTGAGACCGCGAAAACAACGAGATGAAAGAGTTTTTTGGGGTTGTCAATATGCGCTACTAGAGTCGCAAATGGATAGATTGACACTAATGAAGGTGTAGGGATCTTATAGACGACCTGACTCACCCCTGTGTACGTTCCTGTCGCCGCGATAGTTATGGAAAAAGGGCAAAAGAGTGTGACTCGTTTTGCGGCGCAAGAGTCAACCTCAGATTCCAGAACAATGCGACCGGCCGCTGCGGATTGGTGGGGGGGCAATACCAGCTTGCGGGGTTGAGGTAACTAAGATATGGGGTACGCTTCTCTCTCACGTATATGGTGTGGGACAAAAAGTTCTCACTAACTCTTTTACTTCTTTCTGATAAGCGCATGGTCTTTTTCCCCTGCATCCAGACGTTCTGCAGTTCAGTGATGTTTGTCTGTTAGCTGAATACTCCAATCAACACCCCTTTGAGCCCGTCTCAACGCCGAAGAGACTTTGCGACATAATTTGTTGGAAGTTGTAATCATGCTAGGAATGTCTCAGCAAGTGAAATAGAAGTTCAATCATGCCTTTGGCGGAAAGAAAAGGCATGGAAGCTAGGTATAAAAAGACACTCAGACAAGTTTGACCAGAGGTCTTCAGCTAACACACACACATGAATTGGACTGCAGCGTCTTCCCTTAACAATTACCACTGGCTAGACCCCTGAACAGCTCTCCAGTGGTACTCCCCCCCGTTGTCGGTCATCCGTCCATCCATCCAAACAAACCGGGGGCCGAGCCGAGTCGTCGCACCTTGTTGACCACTTTCGAGGTTCCGCCCGCTTCGTTGTCGCGACAGTTCACACCAGACGACTATTGACTTTCCGACACTTGTACAACACACATATACCCACGACACCGCTTTGACTCCAGTTCACCACACCCATACATACTCATCACGGCTAAACGATAACAAACATGTCGTTCCTCTTTGGCCGAGCAAGAACAAGAACCAACGTCAGCGATCTCCCCCGACAAGCCCGCGAACATGTTGTCAAGCTCGAGGGTCCCCAGGGCGCCGCAAAGGTAGAGGAGCTGGCCAAGGTACTATCGCAAATGAAGCAATTACTTCAAGGGACACATGGTATGTTATGTCGTTCCCTTCTTCCGGCCTTCCTATCTTCAGTTCCTCCGGCCAGCCAACTAACACATGTGTCCCCAAAACAGAACAAGAAGCCTCCCCCGAACAACAATACCAATTAGTAACCGGCATGATCGAAGAAGACCTCCTGTACCTCCTCGCCATCAACCTCTACCGCCTACCCTTCGACTCGCGCAAAGACACCCAAGTCATTTTCTCCTACGTCTTCCGCTTCCGGCCACCCAACGCGCCCCCGACGCGTGCCGAACCGCTCGCCCTCGCCTACGTGGTCGAACGACGGCCCCAGGTCCTGATCGAGCTGTGCAAGGGGTACGACCACAAGGAAAGCGCTCAGCACGCGGGGACGGTCCTAAAAGAGCTTATCAAGAGCAGCGAGGCGGCCACGGCGGTGATTCTGTATGATGATGGCGACGAAGAAGGGTCGAGTGCGAGGGGAGTGGCGGCCATTGATAGGAACAGGAAGCAGAGCGGGACGGGGATATTCTGGTCCTTTTTTGAGTGGATCGATAGAGGCTCTTTTGAGGTTGCTGCTGATGCTTTTACTACTTTTCGGGTGTGTTTCTGTCTATCCCTCTCTCTCCCTTTTCTTCCAACGCCGGTACTACGGAAAGACAGGAACTCCTAACAAAACACAAAGACATAATCCCGCACTACCTCTCCCAAAACTTCGACCTGTTCTTCAGCAAGTACAACACGGTGCTAATCCAATCAACCTCGTACGTAACCAAGCGACAATCCATCAAACTCCTGGGCGAGATCCTTTTGGACAGGTCCAACTACAACGTAATGACCGCCTACGTCGACCGCGGCGAGCACCTCAAGATCTGCATGAACCTGCTGCGCGACGACCGCAAGATGGTGCAGTACGAGGGGTTCCACGTCTTCAAGGTGTTTGTGGCAAACCCCCATAAGAGCGTCGCTGTGCAAAAGATTTTGTTGATGAATCGCGAGAAACTGTTGCATTTTTTGTCCCACTTTTTGGAGGACAGGACGGATGATGAGCAGTTTATTGACGAGAGGGAGTTTTTGATTAAGCAGATTAGGAATATGCCTGCTACGCCTGTGGTGCCGCAGCGGTAGTTTGTCCGTTAGGGAAGGGGGTGTTGTGGGTTGAAGAAGGAAGGGGGGGTATGGATAATGGGGGAGGTTGTAGATAGCACTTATGGGTTTGACACAGCGGGCGTTTTTTTCATTCTTTCTTTTACTTTCCTTCCGGTTGTTTGGGCGACGGGTGGGATGGAAATCAGAACTGGCAATGGGCAGGACAGAACGGGATGGGATGACGGGGAACATTGAAACATTGAATGAGTAAAGTAGGCATGGTATGTATGTAATCACCATTAGATAACGAACTTAATGAAGGATCAAGACAGCATCGCAATCGCAGTCCCAACTCCGACCTTAATCCGCCCGTTGTTGTTATCACCTATTCAGTGGCATCCGTTCTGTTCTTCCGTTCATACATCAGGTACGTTAACTGACCAAGAAACCTTAGAATTGTCCCATACTTTGTTAGGCATATGAATAGGTACTAGGATAGCCGCACCACCATCACAGACTTCATGAACCAAGACAGCAACGAGAACATAACCGGAGGAAGGGTGGTACCTCGTAATAGTGACAGTGACAGAAAAGCGTACTCCTCAATTGATTTAATTTCCCAGGGTATATATCGTTATCCAACTATCTATCATAGGTATCATGTCATGTCATGCCATGTCTTGGCGCAATGGACATACCACACCATACCACACCATACCATACCATACCGTACCATACCGTACTACTTTGAACTTATAAAAAATCCAACACTTACAATTCGACAACAGAGATGCTTTTGGACACCTTCTCCCTTTTCCCCTTTTCGCTTGCAGCGCGCCAGTACGCCACCAACGCCTTTGCCCTTCTCCTAATGTCCCTTGCCCTTCTTCGCCTTTATTCTTTGCTCCCCTCGGCTTCTTGTCTTGTACAGCCTATCCAACAGCCAACAGCCAACAGCCAACACCAACACCCTCACCACCCTCACTCCTCTCAAAAAGCCCAAAACAGTAAAGTACTCACCCCTCAGCGCTCTCCTCCCTAATATCACTAAAGAAAACCCCTCTCTCTCTAGTATCTACCCTCTCCCGTTCAGTCCACTCCCTCCCTCCTCTCAAAATCCCACTCGTATTCCCCACTCCCATTCCCGAAGCTGGTTCCGCATATACCCTCCTTAGTTCCCTCTCTCTTGGGCTAGCTAGTATCGCTGAGGGAGTTGAGGTGCCGACGGAAGTTGAGGGGGCTGTTGGTGGTCCTTGGAAGGGGAGGTAGTGGGAGGGAGGATAGTGAGATGGGAGAGGGGGAGCGGTGGATGGACGGTCTAGTCGGAAAAGGGATTTTCGAGCGTTGAATCTTTCGGATCGGTCTGGGCGGTCGGGTCTTGATGAACTTTCTGGTCGTGAACGGTCGTCGAGGGGTGGTGGTCTTGAGCGATCATCTTGTGATTGTGGTTGGTACTGCGACTGAGGCTGGTATTGAGACTGAGGCTGGTACTGCGCCTGTCCAGCAAACTGTGACCCAGAAGCAAAGATAGTGTTCCCCTGCTGCCCACTCCCCTGCCCAGTCCCCTGCCCAATACCAGCGCCCTGCACAACCGGCAAAGACACCGAATGCCCCACCCGTCCCAAAGGCGGCGCCCGCCTAACTCTACTAGGCGTACTCATAAACCCCGGATCATTAACATCCAAATCCGGAAGGAAAGATTCCTCATCATCATCAAAGTCCATAGGACCTAGATTACTAACCTCGGCCGCTAGCGTTTGACTTGTCCTGAACGCCGAACTCGAACTAGAAGGATTGTTTCTAGCATTGACTAGTCGAGCGGATAAGTTCGTTGGACGCATATCTGAGCTTCGGCCGGTTGGTTGTTGGACGGGTGCTGAGACGATGGGGGTTTCTGGAACTGGGATTGGGGCTGTGAGTCTGCTTGCTGGTCGACTTGCTGTGCGACTTGTTGGGCGGGATTGGGAGTAGGGATTTGAAGTAACGGGAGGGTCCGGGTTGGGATGGTAGGGTTGATAGCCCGTTGGCGCTTTTGGTGGTTTTTGGGTAGCGGATGGAGGAGCGGATCGTATAGGAAGCTGGACGGATTGCCTCGACGGTACTGTCGCCGCTGTTGCCGGTGGGAAAAGGAACGTTGACCTATCCCTCTCCCGCTCAGGTGGCATCTCCGAATTACCAAACCACTGGCTAACACTATTGCCAAAGTTTGCCGTCGTATCACCACCACCGCCGCCTCCCCTTTCTCGATCTCGATACCTTCCCATCTGCCTCATCACACTCCTCCTCCCACTCAACATCGTACTCATCCTGGGATCAAGCATACTATACTCTCCCATTCCGATACCCCTCTCCCTAACAGCCCCGGGGTTAACAACCCCCCACCACCCCTCCAACACCCCCACCGCCATTCGTCTATCTTCCCGTTCCCTCAGCGCCTTCACCGCATTCCTCTTAGCAACCAAATGCAGCGCTTCATGTTCCCACCTCTGCAAACAATTCTTGGTAGTACCCTCGACTTCCCATTCCTCGGCATCCATTTCCGCTTCTCGCATCTCCGCTGCGCTATCCATCCAGTTCTCTAGATAGGATTCTAGCTCGGCGTCGGCGGCAATATCTCTTATCTCTTGCGCCCTTTGGGAGATGGAAGACCAGTAGGAGAGGGTATCGTAAACGTCCGAGTGGTTGTGATCAAGATGTAAAGAGTCGGCGCCAGCGCCCATGTCGTCGGACTCTAGCAGGGCGTTGAACCAAGTGCTTAGACAGGACTGGGCTAGGGAGATCTTGTACTCCCGCCGGAAGGAGCGCAGGGATGTCATCATCCTCTCGCGACGAGCTTGTTCTGCCAAAGAGGGCCAGCAGTTGAGGACGGAGGTGATGGTGAAACGCTTGGAGTGTTTGGAGGCCTTGCGAAGATAGTAAGCATTGCGCGTGGTAGAGGAGACGAGGGCTTCGCGCCAGCGGTCTAGACACGGCTTGGTGGTGCGGTAGAGACAGATGAGGTTGGCATTGTGGCGAGGGGTAAAGATGGCGTTGGAGGCGTCGAACCAGGTTGAGAGACAGGAAGACAAAAGGTCGTCGGAGTAGATGTAGGAGGCTTCGGACTCGGAGTGTTGGCGGATGGAAACGGAGGTCTCAGTGGCGGAGAGCCAGGTGGAAAGGACGGATTTCTTAGTTGTGGAGGCGGCGTGGTGCTGGAACAAGGCCAGACGTTGCTCGAGGAACCAGTGAGTCAAAGTATCTTCCAGAGTCTCCTCGTCTTCGCGGATATTCCACAACTTGAGCTTCAACTCCAGCTTCCAGGTGTCCACGGGGGTGAGAAGCACCACAGCGTCAGCCAGCAAACCATCCCGACGAGCGTACTCGGCTTCTTCCCGCCAATGCTCGAGACAGTTCCACTTGAGCGTGCGCTCGTCAGCCGCGCGAAACTTCCTAAGCGTTCGCAACAACCGGCTCTGCTCGTGCCAATTCGCAAGAATAGTCTGACAGTCCTGTGTGACTTTATGCAGCCTGCACTCGTACCCGGTGTACCTGAGATCATCCGCCTCTTCGTGCCAGATATTAACCGCCTCGTCGAGGAGAAGTCTCTCATCCAGGGCAATGGCCACCTCATGATCCTCTTGCACCTCCTTTGTCCTCGTAGTCCAATGGTTCAAGCCTCCTTTCATCGCCTTGAACATCGCAAAGTCATCCGCCACCCTCCCCTTTTGCAGCCGATACCAATGCATCAATCCCTCTCTCATCGTCTCCCTTTCCTCCGTCTGCTCAGCCACGTGCCCTCTAACCTCCTGATGCAACGCCACGGCCGTCCACTGCTGCAGCGCATGAAGAAGCACAAAGTTCCTGGCCTTCGTCTCATCCTGAATATGCTGTGCCCTCCAAGCATCAAACGCCCTCTTCCTGACCAAATGCCGTCTCGCGACCGCGGTACGATCCAGCTCCTCGCGCGCTTGATCCTGCCAGAAGTTCAACATATTCTGTATCGTGAAAACCTCGTACACTCTCGTAGCGCGCCGCTCCATCTTGTCGACCCACGCTTCATACTCGGCTTCAGCCTCGCGGCGCTCGCGCTCTTCGACAACAGCCACCGCTTCCTCGAGCCATATCTCCAGGACCTCGGCCTTGATGTCTTCGTCGTCGATCTGCGTCGCGATGGATAGAAGGTGGTCGTGGTCGCGCTGGTGGCGGTTGAAGTGGTCGTGCCAGGATGTGAAGGCGTCGCGAAGCAGCGAGACGTCGTCTTCGGTTCGGAACATGCGCACTTTTGCTTCTTGGTATTCGGGGTCGGAGGGTGGGGGTCGCGTAAAGGCATGGTGTTGGTGGCTGCTGCTAGGCAGGGGCAGAGGCTCGTCTTTGGTGTTGACAGTGGTGTCGCTGGTTGCGCGATGGAGTTCGGAGAAATCGGTTCGAGGGGATTTGTGGTTGAGGTCGGTTTCGCCTATTGAGGAGAAGGACATGGGCCGTGGTCGTTCTTTGTTCGGTCTGGCGTATGCGGGTAAAGCGCCAGCGGCAACCTCCGCATTTTCGTAGTGATGCGGTGCGCCGAACACGCGAGGGATGTGTCTGACCTTGTCCAGTACGGGGTTGTGCGGTTGGAACGGTCGTCCATCATCGC